AGAATTATAAGCCTATAAGTCTACTTTTGGTGATGCACAAAATATTCATAAAGGTAATGTCAAACAGTACAAAAGAAACACTTGACTTCAATTAACTTAGAGAACAAGCTGGTCGAGAAGGCTAATTTACGATTGATCAGATGTATGTTATCAATAAGCTAATGGAGAAAGCTGCTGAATACAACAAACCCCTTTATTTTGCTTTCATTGACTACGAAATGCATTTCAGTATATACCACCAGTCGTAAATGCCCTAAGTCGACAAGAAGCACTTAAAACTTATGTCAATGTCTCAGCCATCCTCTCGAAAAACACGCACTTCTCTACAAAAAACGAAAAAAAACAAAGAAAAGTGAATAATAATAAATAAGTCAGAGTATTACATACACTATTCACAATGCTGTTTACTGGATGTTCAGAGGAAGTGTTTATGCAGGTAGACAAAGAAACAGCCAGAATTGCAGTGAACATAAAATGCATCGGCAACCTACGGCATGCAGATGTTCTTCTTCAATAACAAAAGAAACGAAAAAAATAATAATTTAAACCAGCAAAGCATTAAAACAGGCTTAAAGAATATGATAAAAACGAAGAGAGTGAGGAATATTCGGGCGAAATAGAGTGTTCATTTGGGAAGCATATATAATATGTATGTCTGAGCAACCACTTTACAGGAGAGACTAATAACGAAAATATAATTCAGCGAAGAATAAGATATGGATTATACGCATTCTTCAGGCACTCCTATATAGTGTCAGTAAATCTGCCACTGTCATTAGAGAAAGAAGTGTACAATTACTGCATACTGCCAATTAGAACACATAAGTTGAACAAGGAGGATAACAAATCAGCTAGTGAAAAAAAAATTGAGGTCCACGCAGCGTGCAATGGAACGAAAAATGATCGTAGCAACAATGAAAGATCGGAGGACGGCAGAATGAGTCAGGGAACCGACAGCTGTAAGAGCATGTCAGGGAGTTCGATAAAGTGATCGGAATGGAGAAGTCCGCGGGGATAGAATGGAATCAACTCACTCAAGACAAGGTGAACTGGAGATCATTGGGAGTGGCCTTCGTCCTGCGGGTGACTACAACAGGATGTGTATAACGAATGATCGCGCATCCACAGCATACGTGCAGGACGTGGTCAGAGATGCAGGGCCATCGGTAATGACGACAAGCAAGAAAATGAGTTTTAGAAGGGTCGTGTGCGGTAGCTTATCGCCTCTCCTGTGAAGGGTCCAACTTTTCTTTCTTTAGTCAAGTGTTGACAGGCAGACACTGCGCCGTAAACTGAAATCATACCGTAGCTCACGCGTACTGTACGCATGACACGCTATAGTAACTCGAGGAAAGCGAAAGGGCCAACAAAAACAACCTCGTTACGCATTACCGGGGAAATTACGTGGCCCGTGACACCGCATGGGTGCACAGAAAGACCAAAGGCTGGCCTGCGAAAGCGGCCAACCTCGTTTCCTCCGAATGTGCTCCTCATCACGAGCACGGCTGGACAGTGAAGCACCTGCGTCTGCGCGTGGCGCTGCAGCTGCGCGCCTGCAGCCAAACTGTGTCCCCTCCACCGACTCGAGCGGCGCGGAGGGGGACTCGCACGACTGGCCAGCTGCGTCCTTGGATGCTCAGCCACCTTGACGACCCCCGGTTCGAGCGCTTCGGACAGCCCCGCGTCCGTAAACTGGCGAGAGAGATAAGACCGCGACCCTCGTAAACGCTCGTCAGTTGGGCGGCTGTCGACGGCCGCAAGTTACGGCTTCCGTGTGGTCGAGAGCACCGTCTTCCCGCTGCCTGGAGGGCAACCGCAGAGGCACATGCGTGCACACGAAAACGCTACCTTCGTGGGATGAAGACGCTCCGGCCATTCCCTCTTCGTTCCCCTTTACGAAATGGTCTGTCGCACCCCCGCATTCCAGAAAAGAGAGAGTGTTTTGATTCACTATTCGGGAATCAACCTGCCTCAGGTATCGCTGCTTTTTTCAAGACGATAGTCTTTCTTGGGGTACTTCAACGCAAAAACTATGGTCTGTTTGTCAGTATGTATGTCTGTACATTTGTCTCTTTGTCCACCAAAACGATACCCGAAACGGCCAAAATACAACCTTATCTGCAGCGCCCACCAATATTGCTCAAGTTTCAGCGTTCATACTTCTGCGATTGTCAATTAGAAAGCAGTTAGTGCTCATATATGAGGCGCAATAACAATACATCAATATTTTGTATGTGTGTCTTCAACTAGAGAAGGCATACATAAGTAATTCTAGGGACCGTAGTATTTATCACGCTGCGCTGACAATGCAATGAACGAAAAGGCAAGTGTTTCCAACGCTTTGCTAAGACGACACGGTGGTGGCACCTTGCAGTTGCTTTGCGTTCTACACCTTATCGCCTCCGAGACAGGCGCGCAAGCCTTCCTTCGTTTTCGAACTGACAGATAGCGCTCGTGTCTCACGTGCGTCGACGCGCTCGTTCGCCTTCGCTGCACTGATCGAGGCACTCTAACGCAGCGCCTCCCAATACAATTCACCAGTTTTCTCGCACAGAACATCAAATAAACATTTTGTTCAGTCTCTCTAGACGCAAGACCATCGTCTTTCGATTACATTTGCCGTGAAACATGCAGATACGGGGCCAATTTTTTTCCGCAAGAAGGTGTCCGTTCACACGCAGCTAGCCACGCCGTGGCAACCCCAATGATGCGCCTCCTATATATAGGCGCAATGCACATGGTCATGTGGAACTGCACGCGCTTTACGACTGGTCACACTGGAATAAGGGACCCACGAAACTCATGGAGATCCAGAGGAAAGTGGGCATGCGTTATTCACCACGTAAACCCCGGAGTAACATTTTTTAATGGTTCTTGTGCTTAAAATATGACAAACGGGGACAGTGAGTCATATATAGGCATCTGGCACTGACAGAAATTTCGTATACTATAAAGGAACTTCTTATAGCCTTGTCATCATCGCACATGCAGCCATATTTTATGTTCGCATAATGAACGGTATCAATGAAAGGGGGCCTTCCCTCTGAGGCCCGATCGGTGTTTCGCCTATGATGCCGAAACTGTCAACCGCTTCCCGATATCGGAAAAAAAACACGCAAAGAACGCTGCAAACTTATTCGTCATACCAAGCTCTATTACATTCCATCACTACTTGCCTATATGTATACTCCCGCAGGTGCAGAGATTATTTCAACTTTTGCCATTTTTATTCACTGCTTGTACCGCACCACTTCCATGGTATATCATAGAAGCGGCGTGATAGTTAACCTAATTTTGCCAGCTGGCGTTCTTTATTCTCTCCGTAATGGTTATATCTATACATATATACAAAAACGCAACAACAACAACAACAACAACAACAACAACAACAACAACAACAACGACAACGACAACGGCGACAACGACGACAACAACGATAACAATAATAATAATAATAATAATAATAATAATAATAATAATAATAATAATAATAATAATAATAATAATAATAATAATAATAATAAATTAGAGGACTCTGAAGCTTCGTCTTTAAGTGTTGAACGCGATAGAGACATCCTCTTCCTAGTGCGTATTTCAAACACTTAGTGCATGAAAGCTTTTCGAACTTGCTATACTGCATTTCCAAGCCGAGGAAGTTCTTTTGACTACTTTTACAAGCAGAGGCGTGGCCGTGTAATAAAGAAAAAAAAAAAGAGGCTTGGCCGTGTGGTAGAACATCCGCTTGCCACGCAAACGACGCGGGTTCAATCCCCACTCAGACCCAAACAACCCTGGTTCAGTCCCTATGCTGCACGGTTTCTTATATTCCTTTTCATTTGCATTGTTCTCAATTTTTCGGTCATTCATAAGATCATTTTTCGCTCACAACCAACGGCGCCACCACCACTGCCGACACGAAAATTTCTTCCAAACAAGCTCTTTAACGCTATCGCGTTAATGATAAGGTGGTATGCAGCCGTGTAGTAATCATATTTCGACTTTAGAGCACCCGCCAAATTTATTTAACACTAGCACAAAGAATATTAAAAGATTTTTTTTTTGCATTCAGTCTCGTAAGAATATAGCTGCTACTATCACCACAGCCGATAAAAAAATGCCTAATGACATAGGGCTTGTCGGGTTTCTGTGACGCACGGCAGCTTGCAACGTAAACGTTCTCATCCTCGCAGCGGTAAGTAGAATTTTACGCACGTTATATTCGCTCAATATGTCTGACAGCTTGCTGCTGAACGGTCTCCAATGAAGTTGTAATATATTTTATGCATACTCTGGGTTCTACGTTGCACTTAACAGCTGCCTCAATTGATTAGGTAAATTTTTAAATAATAAGATTATTGGTAAAAGTAACTCAATTTTGCCAGTTTTGTTTTCATAGTTCATGCAAGATATTTTTTTTTCGTTTCTTTATATGCTCAAGAGCAAAATAAGGAGGTTTGAAATAAATTGACCTTTCTTGCGTCTGAGGAGGTTGTAGCAGCACGTTTTTCTTTCTTACATTTAACCATATCATCGATAATCCCGGCGTAGTGGCCCTCATGTTACCAGTAGATCTACTTACGCACGAAACAAAGGCCGCCGGGTGGGTCGGCGCACGGCGGTGATGTGTCGTCGGCATGATGCGACCATCGCGACAAGGGCGTCCACTCGGAGGCTCGCGTAACGGTACGCTGCCAGTGAAGGCGAAAACAAGCCGCGGATCTTGGTGGAATGTGTGAGGTGTTAGGAGAAAAAAAAAGAGGAATAATAAAATAAATTCTCCGAGGTGCTCTCCCTTCATCCAGGGTGCATCCTGTGCCGGCCGCGATGCAGGTTGCTCCGGCGTGCCGCTGCCTAGGCGACGGAGCCGCCGTCCGGTCGCCGTGGCAACCGCCTCGGCCGCCTGACACTAGGGGCGACAGCGGCGGGAGAGAGAGACGCCGGCGCTCGGAGCGATTGGGAGAAGAGTCGGCCGGTGTATTGAGCAGCCAGAGTGGCCGCTGCGCCTGGGAGTGGCTGCCGCAACGAGCTTGCGAGGGAACACTTTGGCTCCAGTGTTCCACCGTCCGTGCGCGCCGGCAACCGCGAAAACCCACGGGTCCAGGCTGTCCTATTCCGCAACACGCGGCCCAGCACGCCGGCACCCATCGATCTCCGCAGCAGCCCAAGGTGTAGCATGCCGGTGAGTCGCCCACGCTGCGCGCGCTTCCCTGCCGCGCGTCCACAACCCGGGCTTCACTCGCCGGGTTCGCTGCCCCGTGTGCGCGACCCCGCCAGGCAATGGATCCGTTCGGCGGCTCCTCGTGTCCGCAGATCCGAGAAGCGGCGTCGGTGTTGTCAAAGGGTGGTTTCCCGCTAACTCCGTTGGAAGCTTCAATTGGGCGCCCGATTTGAAAGCCCTGCATTGCCGCTGCGACATCGCCACGAGCGCGCGTTGGGGACATCGTGCATGTGCGTTGACAACCGTGTGAGATGTGCTTCGTGACGTCTGGCTCGCGAGAGCATTCCCGGTAAAGCCCGTAGTTGTCCTGCGAGTTCGCCTAGCGGGAAGAATAGTGTCCCGCGCTTGTTTTCCCGAAACCGGTTGTTGTCTGTGCTTCCCTTATATGTGTGACTCCACCCACGTACCGCACTTCTCCCCACTTTACCTCCCTTTTGTGCATGACAATGGCTGTAGCTGCAGTGTGTTCGGTTGTGCCTGTAACCCCACCTGTCCCTCTTTGAAAGCACCGTGTTGTGGACGTTCCAGAGTAACTGCAGAAGGGTTTGCTTCGTCGGAAGTACCTGCATGGTAGCCAACCCTCTCAAGATGAAATACTCGGCTCTGACAGTCAAGCACTTCATCTCGAGAAAAGCATTTTGGTTACTGATATACATAGCGCATAGGCGGCAGACTTGACACATTCGATAACTGCAATTACTTAGCGGAATGCCTGAAAACTGGCTCATGTTTCGAGCACCCGGCGTGGATCATTGTGCGAGCTGGATTGATACACTCGAAAAGTAGTGAAGACCGCAAGAGATATAATCTGTATAGTTGATTTCGCGCGCCGCGGCATCTTTGAAATTCGAGAGTTATTTCGCTAACGTTGGCTGCCTCTAGCGTACTACTAGAAAATTTAAAGTTCGCATTATGCTCGCAAGATGGCTCTAAAATCACTCCTTAAGTTCCGCGTTGTTGTACGACGGGCAAAAAAGAGACAAACCAACTTTGTATGAAGCACGTCGCAATCTTTTTTCCCGATGCTTCGCGTTGTTCGGTAACGAAAATCCGTGATACGTTTCTGCCCATTATTTCTGTCTCTAGCTAGTCTTAAGTTTCTCCACATTCAGTGGTTGAAAAATATTTTCTTATTCATCAAACGATATTTGGCGTGCAGTGGTCGAGTTGTGCGCAGGTGCTAAATTCGTTTCTGCAGAATATTTGCCGTTTCGGTCAGTGGCGAGAGTTCGAACAAGAAGTGTATGTCCTTGCACTCTCATCATTATCGCTGTCGTGCACACACGTGTGTGGTTGCGCAATGCTAAATAATAAGCTAGTACTTGGTACATTCAGCAGTTCTAACAAAGTAAAACGGGCTCTTTAATGCCATGCGGCGAAAAACTTGTTGGGTTAACTGGCGCGTTTAGTCCTCGTCATTTACCCGTTCTCTCACAATCGTGTCGCCATTTATTACCAATGTAAACAGTGATGTTGAAGACACGAAAACATCATAGCAATGCCATCGACGATAAATCCTGAGCAGACAAATTTTCAGATAGCTTAAATTCACGCACCTTCCCATAAAGTGCGTCCTTTGCAGCGTTGTGTTGCAGGACCAAGGAGCTCCGGCGAATTTTTTTCGGCGTCATGTTTGATGTTCCTCTCATATAAAAATGTAACGAATTACCCTGGTTTTGCTGCGACGACGGCAGTCTAGTTTGTATTCGTTGTAACGCCGTAAAATGTCATTTTTGACGCGGGCAGGCGGTAATTCACGTGGCAGTCCAAAGTAATTCCTGCTTTCGAATGGTGGTTTCGTACTGCTAACTTTAGTGTTTCTTGTAGCTTTTTTAGCTTGTTGATCTTCTATCTTCGTGGGCAAAAGATTTTGATGATGTCACGAGAGCATAGCATAAGAAGCAGAATTGGCATCGGCATATTGAGGGGGATCGCTCTTATGAACGACAGTTTGAGTGACACAGAAATCAAGAGGAAGTGCGCTTCCTTGCATCTCAAGCCTTGTTTTGCACTACGGTACATTTAATGAATTATTACTAATTAATCAGATCGATAATATTTTAATGATTAAAAACGCCACAGTGAACGTTTGTGTAGGTGGTGAACCCCCTCAGCGCGACATCATAATGGCGATGTTTTTGCAGATGTTATGTTCGTTTACCTTCCTTAATGCCTGCGCAGGCGTTGCAGGTAAGCTGCATTGCAGTTCGAGTTAATATTCTCTCTAGCGTTAACGCAAACCCGAATCCCGAGTTTTTGTACTGCGTAAAACATTGCTCTGGCAAACGAGGCCATGTAAGAGAATGTCTCGTGGAGGGCAAAATCGGCATGAAAGGGGAGATATTCCTTCTACGTATAGGGCAACACTAACCGAAGAGTGGGTGGCTGTGTAATCGACCGTTTTTACCATAGCTCGGTTCGACCGAAACTAAGATTGTGGTTGAAGGTTTAAGAAAGTGGGTAAGAAATATCATGTTGGCGCCCATCTGAAACAAGCTGTAAACAGCTTTGTGGAGGATGTGAGAAGTGCTATTTATGAGTAAACCGCACATGTGTGAACGACAAAAAAAAAATGCTTCTTCACACAGAGGCTCTGCGTGAGTGACGCGCGATTCGCCAGTTTTACTACAGACTCTTGCTGTTACTAAGTTATAACGTTCTTTCAGTTAAACGATATAGCTAACCCTTCGAATTACTGTAGTGGGAAGCTTGTGTTCCTTTATGTCGCAGTGAGGAATGGCACTCAATTCTGTCGCACACCTCTGCGCTAACGCGTGCTACCCGATGTATTGACGTGGGTGGCACCGGCGTTGCATGCCCGTTGCACATTTCGCGCCACGTTACCGCGGTCGCATAAATTTCCGAAAGAAACGAATTCGAAGCTGTGTCGAGTACTCGCCTGCCCCGATTCCCCCTCGACGTATGTCAGAGGGCATTTACACACCCGTTTGTTGTCGCTGCAGGCGCGGACAGGTTGTTGGTTGTTCTTTCTTCCTCAACGAGTATGATCATAGTCGTCACGCTGTCGAATGGCCCCGCGCGATGTATCGGTATACGTTCGCGTGCTCGTCCACACTCCAGAACCGTGCGTCGTATTCTCGACACGCGAGATGGCTATGGAAAAAAGAAATGGGTTTCATTATTTCGAGCCTTAGCTGCAGCGTGTGCCTGAAGAAGCGAGAGAATACATCGGGACTTGGAAAGCAAGCGAAGGTCTTTTGTTTTCTTTCATCCCGCCAAAGGGCCATCACCGCAGCGACGCTTTTAGTAGCAACTGGGCGACTATTGAGCGGGCCATATAGACAGGGCGACGCACATTACGAGCTGCCTTCGAAACGGGAGCGGTCCGGCGGAGAAGCCCCGCAGTTAGATCGAAAGCAAAACAACTTGCGCTCCCCGGAAAAGATGAATCAACCCAGACAGAGACAGGAGCAATTGCCTTTTCCCGCCCTTTTTTTTTTCTTTTGTTCTCAGCTTTCGTGTAATACTCGCCGTTGATGGGGAAGCCGCGGGTGGAGAAAATGTGTTGGCTTCGGACGCCTCTCAGCCGACGTGCGGTGTCATCTGTGATCGTTACTGCGTCTGTTTGACAACTCGCTACATTGTGCCGACGCGTGACCGGAGTGCGCATTCAGGGGCCATCAAATTGTTGCGTCAACGAAGAATATCGCGCTGCGTGCATACGAGAGTCGCCTCAATACCAAGTCGTACTACAGCAGACGAGTTTGGGCCAATGTGCTGGGACTAGTCAACTCGCGTTGACAAAAATTTTTCTATTTATAAAATAATATGTGTGAAACAGCGTGTTCCAGCCATTCGAGGTGACGCACACAACATATTAGCCGATACGGCCAGCCAACGAAAAACTTTGTAAATTGCGGTCATGGCTCTCATATTCGCAAAACACAGTTTTGCGTTTCAGTTGTTAGTTCCAGTCGAACGTGATGTTGTAAGAGTAATAGCGAATGCGATCATGCATGCAACTAGCGGTGAATAACAATCATGAACTAAAATATATTTGAGGGCTGTTAAATTCAAACGCTACACATACGTGTTGTTTTTCGGTAAAGGGTCGATTGTTTCTCACAAATTACCATCTGTAGGTTTGCCCGCCAAGCCTAAGGTTAAGACTCGGTGCTCCAGCTTCTATTCAAATGACCATCTCGCTATCTCTCTCAAGATCTTATAGATCATATTTATGCCAATCGCGAAGGCACATACGAAGGTAGGATCGTAACTGTTTTCAAAGATCAGAGCTTTTAAACGCAGATAGAAGAACGTTGCGGCGGCTGGGCCGCCTACACGTTTTGAGCATTGTAAGCAAACAATTATAGTTCATATAGTTAGTTGAAGCTTGGTTGCAATCGGGCCTTACAAAATATGAAAATCGTACGAAATTTTACCGCGCGCCTCCCTTTCTATAGAGCGGCGATTCGGGAGAGATGTTATGTGGAAAGTCACCCATGAATGGCCTGCGCAATACATCCTGTTTTTAACGTCACCGGTCATGGCACGTGACTTCGATTAATCATCCAGTGTGCTGTGGCGCGACCGGAAACACGGTGATAAGCAAAAAAATACTAAGAAAATAAAGAAAAAGAGGCGAGGCTCCTTGCGCTAGTATAGTAGTAGCCGAGGCTCGGCTCACGGGGGAAGGCAGGACGAGAACTTCGGCGGCGGCCGTGACAGTGAAGCTGTCGTCTGGCGGTATGCTGGAAGTACAGTAACTCATCTTGTAGTGCCTAGAATTGCGCAATAATTTGAAATTTTCCTTCGGTAAAACTTTCCATTGCGCCCGAACAATTTCAAGCGTATAACTAAAATTTTTAGAGGGGGCTGGTTAAGAGCCCTTTCGTGTGAGCGATTACAGGGCGTGATTATTTGGGAGGAATCTGTATGGAAGAAGAACAAAACTTTATTTGTGCAAAAGACTGGGTTGCCGCTAAAACAGGGCAACGCCG